TCCATTAGGATAATTTTTTTTTTCTTTCATTCTTTAATAAAACATTTAATAAAACTGACAATCATCTTTATGTATTAAAAGAAGAAAAAAAAAACGTCGAATAAATAAATCTCTTCATAATTTAAAGATGATGGTGATGAATAGAGACGAGAGAGTGTGTGTGTTTGCTCTCGTTTATTCCTGTAAATTAAAAAAATAACGACTTGCTAACCACACACATAACAGCATTGTATACTTGACAAATCAATTTATTATCAAAAAAAAAACGTGACACGGGACGTGAAAAACGCTATACTATGAGGTGCTGCAAAGCTTTTCGTAACATTTTCATCGTTTGTTTGTATGATACATACAGAGAGAAAAGTGAATACCGAAAAAGAATTCATTAGCACATTTATTTGACAAATTAGGATTCCTTTATATATTTGAAATTACCTTTCGATGGTGATCTTTCATTACACTTTCAAATTAGGAAGAAAATATCAAACAGAACACTGAGTGCTGTTTAAGACATAACATCAAGCTTTCAGTTCAACTAGACCTTAGTTTTTTCAATGAGTCTACTATGTAGGGCACCGAGGGCAATTCTCTATTACGGTGAGAGCGACCTCTGATGCTGACCTTCATCTATGATATCTGACGTCATTCATAATCGATAAGACTTGAATCAACAAACTCTTAGACCTGGACACAGCGAACGTTTTCGACATGTATAATGCAAATATTTAGATTTCTTCATTGTGAAATGCTTCTTTATGAAATAATAAGATTTCTTGTTTTCGATAGTTCTCCTTTCTACGAGAAAACACGAAATTTTCGATAACAAAATGTTTCAGCAAGACTAAGGGTTACACTTTTAACCGAGATAGTTTTCCAAAACCTGTGTTTTCATATAGTATTATATACACTGAATAAGTTAATCATGAATCTGATATTTGGATTATTTAAAAAGTCGAAAGAAATTAAGGAAAACAGAAGTGCATGAAATCTCATAGTTTTAAGGGAAATCGTCAGAGTTTAACTTTTTCTCAAAGAACTGATCATCTGCTTTCGAAAATATCAACGGCGAAGATGGCTATTTTTCTTTTAAGCATCTATATTAGATATTATCAGAGTTATTATTCTTATTTTTTAGACTTTTTTTCCTTCCTAGTCAACTTTCAGGACGAAATAGAATAGCACATGGATTAACTAAATAACAATAGAGGAAGTTCAGCGCGTATTATGCATTAATTAACTTACGCCCTACTACTGGCTTAACACCGAGATTCTGTACTTTTAGTGTTTGTCATGAAATGGTATTCTTGAATGTTACTAACTAGAGGGCGCTAAGAACTGAAATTAGGAGAAATAAAATTCTATAACGCACACGTTTTGCTCTTGAATTCTGTTCAAAATTATAAATTTTTTTCCATCTGTAAAGACCTATATTTTCAAAATTTAAAGGATTACTTATAATATTAACAATGCTTTTTTAAAGATGAAATATTCGATTTCTACCGATTCTTTTTAATACCATTTTTCTTTCCTTACTGTAGTCATAAATCAAAAATAAGTGTTTACAATAGTGAACTATAATTCTGAAGTTTATTTTTATCTAAGCAAACCAAACCTTCAACTTTTTTTTTACGGATTTAGAGAAGTGTGACCATGCGGAACTCTTTAGGGTTTAGTAAACAGAAGGAGTTTATCACGTTAATAAACGCATTTTTGACTACTAAATTGTTTCCATGATAAGGATTTTATTTTAATAAACCCGTCATCAAGGGTTTGTTAAACGATTTATTCAAAGTTCATGGTTTCTTGTACTCTATTGTATACCTTATAACTCAGGATAAAGTCGAATTTTTATGTACCAGTTGCATTACATGAATGGGTTACATGGCTGAAATTTGCTTTGTGCAATATGTAAACGGAGTCATCGTAATAATTGACATCCGACATAGTTTCAGAAATAAAACTTTATAATAGAAAGGAAAAAAATAGTTTTGTGTTTGGAGCATACTGAATTTATCACTCAAAACATAAATCAAAATAATTGTCCAAATAATTTACTTGCTTAAAACATCGTAATTCGTCGATGCGGTTACCTTCACAGTTAAAATATTCCATTTTCATTTATCTTTTTAATAACAAATAGAAATTATTTATTCGGAGGGACTTGAAAGGTTTTGTACTATATCGTTATTCTTTTTTAAACTGTCTGAATAACTTAATGGGTTATTTTAAAAAACCCTCACGGTTTTTCATTCTGTGGTAAACCCTTCGTATGCAGAAGTATAAATGAAAATATGTCACGGTATTTTTTTAATAAAAAACCTAAAAGAGTTTTTCAAAAATCTTTTTTTAAAACACTTTTGGAAACTATTTTAATAAAGCCTATTGGTTTATTCAGATAATCTAGGGTTTAGCAATCAATTCGATGCATTGCATGATTCGAATGATAAACTTTTTGGATTTAGGAAAACGGTTAATGAACTTTTGTAAATTTATTATTATTTTGAGGGTTCATGAAGCATTACGTTTTCTAAAAACACCTCTTTTTAGAGTATACGTATGGTCTATGTATCGACATGTTATACAGTTCCTAGATTTTTGTCTCAAGATGCTTAGTTAAACATTTTCCGATCGAAGCACTCTTTGTCGACTTCTACTTTACTATACAAACCAAAGTTCGATCATAGTATATTTTCTTTCTCGCTGATTCAGGCTCGATTCGTTGACACGTTAATTAATTTTCCTGATTCATCGACACTTTATAGTGTCCGCGACTCACAGACATCTTTCATCTTCCCGTCCAAAATGTTGTTGACGAGTCAGGAAAAAAAATTAATGTGTCCACGAATCGGGAATATACCTTCTCTCTCTCTGCTGTGTACTATTTACTTGATCAATAATAGATTTTTTGCGGGCAAACATTTTAACATCACACAAATGGAGGTAAAGCTGTAACGATCTACAAAAGGTAATTGTAATTAGTTCATTGCTAATTACATAAGAGATCAAACGTTTCTTAGATCTCTTCTTAGCTATGTCAGAAAAGATGGAAATAAATAAAAAAGAAGAAGAACAGAAAAACTATTTTAGTTAACTAAGGGTATCTACATAGAACTCTCTTTGTTGTTAATTGAATGTAATCAGTTATAATTACTTTTTAAATTTTTTCTCTCATTCGACAGATTTTAATTGGATATATCTTTGTTTGACTGTAATTGAACAGAATCGAATACTCGTTCAACATTAATAAGACAATATTTATTCATTGGCGGCCTCGTTCTCTGTCCCTTCATTCATTATCTTTTTATAACAGTATAATTCTGTTCTAGCTACCACTAACCATTTTGCTCTTTTCTCTCGTTTTCTCTATTCTTTAATGGCATATGCTCAACTAATTTATTTAATTAGAACAAAACACACAGCTGTCTATCTACATTCGAAGTTTTTTAACTTATTTTTTCGTTTCTTTTCGTTCTCCCCTCTCTCATTCATTAATTGACGTGTAGTATGTAGAGAGAGAGAGAGAGAGAGAGATATCTTTTATTGGCAGAACATCATGTGCATATTATTCTCTGCAGTTTAAATTGTACATAGGAGAGAGAGAGAGACAATGTTACGAACAGGTAAGATAAATTTATATATACACGAGCTGGACGTGTTCAATAATAAACTTAGACTAAAACAAAAAGTGAAGAGGATTTTTCCGAATAATTTTGCTCCTGAAATCGTTTAAAACAGACGTGACAAACAACCCAGAAAAGATCCTAATTTAGATGTTATTTACCTGAAAAGTTTTGATGCAGTTCATATCTCTGAAGTACGTTATATGTTGACCGTGATTGAAGAAAATTCAGACGACTCGTTAGAATATATTCGTAAAAATTTCGTAGCTATTTGGGTAGTTTGCATGGAAGTAGTCTTGACGCTTCTCGTGACAAAAAAATGGACGCAGGTTTTGTTAAAACATTTTTTCAAGTTAAAAAAACAGTAAGTAAATGAATACATGCGATTATTCTGGTAGTCTTTTGATAAAAGTCAGTAGTTAAATTGACATATTGGTTCACTGGGCAGAAGGAAAAATTTTAAAATTTTTTCAAATAATCGGTGTGGGTTGCATAGCATGACAAGAAGTTCAATAATTGGTTCACACTCTGAAAAATCAGATGTTTTTAGAGACTTTCTATGAATTCATCGAGGAGGTCTCTCGGGACTGCAGTGTGGATTGGCAGCTAGTAACTGAAATTACAATCAAACGAAACATTATTCTTCCATCTGCTAGTTTCATTACATAAATATGTTTATTGTTTGAAAAGTTAGTTTTATAATTTTATTTTTTATTTTCTCATAACAAACATCATTGGTATGTTCAGTTAAGAAAATTTTCCCATCGTACTCTGTCTTTGTTGAATACGTTGGCTGACTAACATCAGAGATGGAAAAGACCTATTTTAATTGTGTTTTTTTCGTTCACACTTCTTATAGTAGTAATAATAGGGGTATTAGAATAATTGTTAAGAAACAATTCGTTCATTCTTTCATACAAAAGATGAGGTTGAACTCTTGAATAATGACTGCTGTCTAGTTTTACTCCTACTACTAAAAAAAAATAAATTTTCAAAGTTCTATTCAATTTTTTCTTTTACATGGAATGATAGATGTCAAATAGAAGGAAACTATTTCTCTCTCTCATTCTGTCTCTCTTTCTCTGTGTACATGTATACACACATGCACATAGATCTATCGTCATCGATCATCGTAATTGAAAATAAATTGAAAATAGGGTAGGTGTGTGTGTGTGTGTGTATGCATGAACACATCGTCGTTATAAATTGACTCAAAATGACTGTTGTGAAACATTAGCCAAAAAAAAAAACTTCTCTATTCTAGGTGGCGCAGCGCCGTTGGTAACTACCTCGCATCAGTCAATGATCCAGCCAAAATTTGAATCTTCTTCATCTCGTTATATGGACGTTGTTTATAACGATACAAATTCCAACTCAAAAATGCTTCCACCATCGACACAAGTGACACGTTATGATTCACATATGTTACCGACAACCGGCGTATCAGGAAAGTTTTCATGTTCACTATGTGAACAATTTATCCAAGAGAGATATTTATTATATACAAATGATCGATCAAATAATGGACGATATTGGCATGTAAATTGTTTAAGATGTCAACTTTGTGGATTTTTGTTATCGGATTTAGGAAATACATTTTTTACAAAAGAAAATACCATATTGTGTAAAGACGATTATATGAGGTAGGAATAGTTTACTTATTCCTAAACTGTTCTTTTAGATAGTTTCGAGAGTTAACTCTTGGGATTCTTATTTTTTCTGAAAGAAATGTCATTAATCTATCAGTTGTGATTTCTATCGAACTGAACAATCGAATTTCGTTGAATAAAAGATTCCTTAGTAGTGTCAGTTCTATTATCCTTGTCTTCAAATCTTGAAGATGGAGAGGATACTATTTTTACAGACAAAAAAAATCTACGATTTCTTTTTGTTCTGTTTCTCGAGCTTCTTTTGATGTAATTCAAGTTAAGAAAATAAATAGACATGTTACATCAACAGCAACAATATTTTTTGCGATATATTTCTAAACAGATTAGAATAATGGGAAAGCTTATATGAATGAAAAAAATCAACGATGTCGGTCACTTAATGTGCACTGACCACACTTATCTTCTAACTCTCGTGTCTTATATGATTTGATAATTAATTTTCATTAGAAATTTTGTGATGGTATTCAAAGGTGTTTACATTTTTGTTTCAACACTATCCCGTTATTCTATCTACATCATGTAAAACACATTTATCAGTTATTGAAAGAAAATTTATATTAATACAATGGAAGGCGAACATGTTGTTGTTCTTTGTGAAAAAACTAATTGAAAACTGATTTAATAATCGATCATCTATAAATAATAGGTTTAAAAAAAGGATCAGATTCAACGCGAGAATATAGAATGTACACATTTCACTAAGGCAAAAAAACATCAAATACTTATACGTTGCGTCATTATTCAAAAAAAAAATCCACTATTATGGTGGCTTATATTCTGAGACAACAAGAAACCATTGATATGCGTTTCAGAGGAATAAGTTAGATTATTGTTTTTTTATCATTCTAGGATATACGGTAGTAAACCTTGTCAAACGTGTGGTCAGATAATTCAACCACAAGAACGAGTAATGCGCGCACCGCCCAACTATTATTATCATATAGAGTGTTTCTGTTGTCATAAATGTCGAACGCGTCTAGTGACTGGCGATCGATACGCATTCGTACATGGACATTTATTTTGTGAAAAAGATCATCCGCTCAAACCACCGTCGACAATGAATGAACGCTCAACAACTACTAAACGTGGAGGCGGAGCAAAACGTGGTAGTAAATCGACGCGAGGTCAACATCATACACATCATACACACGCACAGCAACAACAACAACAACAACAACAACAGCAGCAGCAACAGCAATTGCCACTGCCCACACCACCGCAACATCATCATCCACACCACCATCCACATATGCATCAGGCATCGAACATCTCATTGATGAATTCATCGACTCACTCAATTTTAAGTGTAAGTAATTTGAATGGTGGTGATAATTATTGATGTCGATGTCGACGGCAAAAACGGCTATTTTTCGAGAGAATGAAATTTTTCACTATTGGTGTACAACAAGATCTATCTATGAGAAAAATCAATAATTAACAACAAAAGTTAATTTTCATGTTTTGTTCATTTTATTTTTATTTTTTTTATCTGTGTATAATCTTTTTTCAGATCAAAAGGTCTTCACGCGACTGTTTATAAAATAGAATATAAGATATATATTATAAAAGTCTGAAACATAAAATATAGCTTTTATCAAGCGAAATCAAGAGTTATTTCACCGGGTACTATTTTTTTTAAAACATATCTAACTCCTTAAGAGACGATCCTTGAAAGAATCGAGCGTAGTTAAATAAGTCTATAACATGTGAGAAAATTGTATTTTTTCTGACTATCCTCATTCGATTCTCCGTTCAAGATTATCTATAAAATCGAGTTTTATAGACCATAGAAACGTTCCTGTCTCGAGTTATAATTTTTTTAAGAAATTTTTTAAAGAAAACGACCTTTTAAGGTGTTAGTAATTGTTTCGCTAAGAATCTGACAAGTCAGTCTTGTAGAGAATTTTCTACAAAATGAGCTATGGTTTATTGATCAAGAGTCTGGGCGGCATGTCCAGAAGTCCGTACGTTTAACGATAATTTTCATGCAAGACTGGTCAAGAATATCTGTTTATTATGTAGTACATAATATGTACTGCTAGTAATTAATCATTGAGTATAAGCAATCATTCAATCAGAAGACGTTTCCATATTAAAAATGATGATTTCAGCACTATTTACCATCATACTAATTGTAGTGGTATTCTTTGAAAGCGATTTTTAGACATGCCGCCCAGACTCCTAATCAATAAGCCATAGCTCATTTTGTAGAAAATTCTCTACAAGACTGACTTATCAGATTCTTAGCGAAACAATTACTAACGCCTCAAAAGGTCGTTTTACTAAAGAAACCTTTTTTAGCTTAAAAATTTCATTTGATTCAAATTTTAATCCGAATAATTTTAAAAATATCGTACTGTGTTCAGTATATTCGCTCTTACGACTGATATGTAGTTTGAAACTTAAAAATAAATGGTAAACAGGAAAGTAATTAAATTTAAAAGAATAGTCACTTTCACTTTTTTCCGAAAACTTTTTGACTTCATTTCTTAAAAAAATTATAACTCGAGACAGGAACATTCTATGGTCTAAAAACTCGATTTTATAGATAATCTTGAACGGAGAATCGAATAAGCATAGTCAGAAAAAATATAATTTTCTCACATGCTACAGACTCTCTCGATAGCACCGCATCTCTCTTAACTTTTTCGAAGAAAAGTTATCTTCGCTCACTATAGATCCTCACCACAGAAAGTAATACTGAAACAGTCGTATTCTGTTGCTACCCCGGTCAACAGACTAATTAAACACCATTCTCACACTTTTCTTATGCTGTGTGTTTAACCCTTTGGGGACGGGTGACGTTTTAAAACGTCATTAAAACGTCAAAAATCGGAATAAGTCGTGTTTTC